TTTTTTTTTTTTTGGTTAATCAGGAATATGAGGAGATATAGAAGGCTAGATAGATTATACCTAGATGTTTTGCTTTAAAAAATGTATTGTGCACCGTGTGCTAAGCTTGGAACAAATGTATGATTTCTTATAGCTCTAAGTGCAGAGGTTAGAGAGCATGGAAGAAGTTCTTATGCCATAGGCTATATGACAGGACATAGAAATGATTCAAAGGAAGTGAAACGTCATTGTAACTGATTCCTGGAAACAACTAGATGTTTCCAGCAGGAGCCAAAGAAGTGAGGAAGACATAAGTACTTTCGAAGTGCTTTTTAGTTTCGAAAAGAGGTGAATGTGAAAGTGGGAGGTGGAACCTGTTAAAGCCACCTGGGGAGCTTTTTCAATGATACTTGACCAAGCTTTTTCCCATGGAGAGTGTGATACTGAAATCGAGTAATGTCAAAACTATTTTCCCACCCTGGTTAAAACAGATAATTAGAACAGATAGGACCCCAGATGGGAATAGATAAGTAAACTTAATTACCCTCAACTATTTCCCCACCCTGGTTAAGGCAGGTGAGCAAACACAATAAACTCAGTTCCTTAAGAACTGAATGGAACAAAGAACATTCTTTCCTGCTATTTCCTTAGGCACAGGTGATAAATGCCTTAATGTATCTTAGAAAACAACTTGAAAATTGACTCTGGCCCTGGACATGCACAGTGGGACAGAGAGGAACAAGGTTGCTAGGAACTAACACTCTCCCCTCTGCCTAAGCCCCGATCAGCTGATGACAGGAAAACGGTGTGACTCATCCAGTATGCAGGCACATTCAATTAAAAACCTAGTGTCCCTTTAAACCGAGGCAAAGGAAATTTCAGCCAATCATCAACCATCTCACACCCAAATTCCTGAAATTTTTATGAATATGTATAACCCTCTCTTTTGAAACTCACAAAAACTGTTAATTCAATGGAGATCCAGGGAGGCAGATCTCGGACGGACCCCTGCCTCCTTGCACTGCGGCTTTGCAATAAATAATGTTCTCTCCTCTTAATCACTCGGTGTGTAAACTGTTTTGGCCTGGCTGCGTACCAGGCAGGGACCCACATTTGGTCCTATTTCAGTATCTCCTGAAAGGAACAAGGCATGTGCATTTTTTAAAAAAATTAGGTGATGCTAGTATTTGCCCTTTAATACCCTTAATTGAAAACCATTGCTTTAGTCCGTAATAGCAAAATGCTTGCAGTGAATCTCACCTATAGAAGATTTGAACCTTGAAGTTTTCCCATGCTGGAATTAAGTTTAGCTATGCATTTGAATTGTCTGTGAGTGGTAGAATGCAGCAAACAGAATCTTTCAGAATAGGGAGCCACCTGAAAAGAGGCAGTGAGAGAATAAAATACTGTCTATTGAACACAATTAGAACAAAATTAATCAAATGCCCTTATTAGAGCCAAAAATATTGCTCCTTTATAGTCTGGGACTGCTTTTTTTTTTTTTTAATTTTTATTGTCATTTGGGTGAAAGTTTATGGAGCACATTCATTTTCCATACAGTAGTTCATACACATTTTGTCTCATGACATTGAATGCAATTTCACACAATGTACCAGCTCTCTTCCCACTTCCCCTCCCATAGTTACCTCTACACTGTGTCCTTCCTTCCCATGCAGTCTTGCCCTCCCCAAGCCATCTCCCTGTGCATACACTGCCCTTCAGTTCTCCCATGATTGAACTCTGCAAGTAGTGTATCTACCTGATGTAAATGCTCAGCCATATGCTGGTATTTTATTTGACTGACAGCCACAGGAGTGAGTTCAATTCCGGACCTGAAGGGCAGCTAGGGGAGGGGTTTCAGCAAGCTCTATCAGACAAGCAAATGT